TATTTCATCCTTCTGTGGGTCAAAATATAGCATGCTGCAGTTGATGAGACTCTCAAAAGGCTGAAGTCAAGATGGGCACTGACTGTACACATTTCTGGATGCTTTCGAGAATACTCGATTTCCTTGCTCATTCCATTTCTCATGGTGTGGGATAAAAGTAGGCTCTTTGCTGGCTTTTAGCTGAGGGCATCTTGTGAGCATCGTATTATTGGCTCAGGGTCTCCTTCCTCCACCTTCAAAGCTAGTGATGACAGGATGTGTTCCTCTCACACTTGCATTTAAATCTCTCATACCTCTTTGTTTGCTGCATCTCTGTGTCTCCAGTTAGGGAATGGTCTCTGCTTTTTAGGTCCACATGATTAGAATGGGTCCACCCAGCAATACCAGATGGTGTCTTCTCCAGCTAAGGATGAATGACCTTCATTATGTCTACAAGGTTCCTTATGTGATTTTCACATTTTCACAGCTTCCTGGGCCAGCTGTAGATATCTTCAGTGTGCCAGTTTCTTGTTACAACAGGTGTGCCAACATATTCATATGGAATTGATATATAATTATTGAGAATTTATATGTAACCTAAACAGATTTAGTCTTCTTTCTCCTATTGGACACAGTGTCCTAAGACAGATACAAACCCATAATCTAGCAGAGCATGAAGGTATGGGGAAAGGATCACTAGTTTCAACATTGAGATGTGACAATTCTATCAATGAATTGGTGGTGTCCAAATATGTGTATTCTTAGTAAAGAGACAATTATATTATTAGCGTTTTCATATACATACCTCTTTTTACTTAAATTTAAGTGGATTATCATAAATTCAATCCCATCAGTTTCTTCAGGGTGACTCAGTAGGACAAAAATTCCATATATACATAATGTTTTTGACCAACATGAACTTGTTTGTAATTCATTTCCAATGAAATAGTAGCAAGGACTTATTCAGAAACAAAGTTTCATGAAATATTATAATAGTAAAGATAATGTTCTCATAAATTGATTGCTTTAGCAGAAGCAGAAAACACAAGAAAGGAAAATTCTAAGCACAGATTATGCCCACTCTAGTGACAGCAAGATCACTGTTTCTTCCATGTCCAAAGTACTCTATATGACCCTGCCCCTAGAACACTATCTGGTCATTTCACAGAAGATTATCAAAGTGTGCATGCCATGTTATTTTCTGCAGTGGCTGGTATTGCTTTGCAGTGAATATACTGTGATCAGCCACCTACCATGCAAGTCCATGAATAACTGTCCTTCCATTCATAGCTTCTCCACCCACAGCATGTTCCAGAGGGGAAGTGGCTAAACAGAAAAAGTGACAAATCCACACCATTGTCTTATTACTTGTCTAATTACTGTTAGGCTTTCTGGACAGCTTCCGAGGCAGCCTACTGACTTCTGGGTTATCTGACATGAAAGACTGAGTAGAATGTTGAAGTGAGGCTCATGGTATTTTTAATACTCACTCATAGAATCCAGAAAGGTAATGGCTTTCTCTTATGGTGTTGAGGACAATCAAAGGGGTAGAAATATTTCCTTGACTGCTGAAGAATTTGAGTGTTTTGAACCACCCAGACAGAATAATGAGCTACTTGGCAAGCAAAGCTCTGGATATGTGGAAGTTCATCAACCCCTCCCTACTCTCAAAAGATGGATAAAACTGGGGTAAGGAAGTCTAGACTGATTTCTTGCCAAAAAGTGGAACATCATAGATGTAGAGTGAACACTTTAGATGCTGAGGTGGGGGCACTGTTGTCAAATCTCACTCACTGATGGAGATTTGCAGAAGAGTTTCTCTAACTAGCTCTTCTTTACATTCATCTTTCCCAAAACAGAGGAATCCCCTCTAACATCTATGGGGTGGGACAGTACAAGTATGTAACATACTAACTCCTACTCGGAAAACTGCCCACTGGCACTGTTGAGAATACCAACAAAGGGGAACAGATCCTGGGCGTTACCCAAAAAGCCCCCAACACAAGATAATGTCAGCCTGGGTAGCTCACTGTGAGCCCTGCCCCAGTGCTGTTATGAATTCTATTTAATTTGTATCTAAGATTTTTTTGTTGTAGTCAATTCTTGTAGGAAGAAGGGTGTTATGCAAATTCGGAAAATCAATGATTATAGGGAAAAACAGTCTCAACTAATAAGACTGAATTTTTTCTTCTTTTATTTGGTTAATAATAAGCCATTGGCTATGGTTTTCTACTTGTAGATCTATTTTTATGCTTTTTTTAATGTCTGGGAATGAAGAATGTAGATGAAAACACTCTTTTCATAGGGTTTGAAGAAGAGTGATAATTTTTCTATAAATTTTAAATGCTTTCCAACAGACTTTAGGAAGCAAAATTAAGTTCATATGAAATCATTTTTCCAATTAAACAGAAATTTCAGGCAATAAGTTTTTGATATTGAACTAAATGTGTCCCAAAACCATTAAGAAATCCATTGCTTAATCAGTATTTGTTTAATTCCTTTAAAATTATGAGTATCAAATGCAGATTCAGAGCTTTACTATAATACATATCATTTCTTCATAACATTGCAAATGCCAATAGCAAGTTAACTTACTTAGATTTAATACATACCATGATCTCTTACTAAAATATATAACTTCTATAAATAATCTATACTAATATATAAAGAGAAAATTAAAATTAGTTAAAATTACTGTGTTTTTGTCTTAGGTTAAAATAATCTTTGCTATTATTTATTAATTCTTTAATACAATAGGCTCAGATATTGCTATTCAAGTGATTACTTTTCTCTATTAAGCAAATTGGGTCCCAAAGATCAACAGCAGCATAATTGTTATGTTTGTGAAACAGCATTATATATTTGGCTCAGAAATTGTTTTAATTATGTAATTTAAGAAAAATACTCTAGAGGGACCAGGGAATCATACAGAATAACCTCATGATATTAACCAAGGTTTGGTGATACTGTGATAGACAAAATTTGCCTCAAGGTATGCCGGACTCACTGGTTTTTCTGTGGATTACTCAAAAGCAGAATGTAGTGAGCGGGAATAAAGGTAATTGAAGTAGTAAAAGGTACAGAGGGACCCAATCTTTGTATATGTTCAATAATTTGGATATTATTTGGAATATGTACTAATTTCTGAGTCCTACAAGTTGTAGTTTATGATATGATGATATTATTTATGATATTGCAAGGGATGAGAGTAGCTTACAAAGAAATGCTTATTTATCAAAAGTTTTATGAACAATGCTAAAATGTCAGGATTTGATCCCATGTTTAATGGAAAGCAGTGGACTACAATTTATGTGTTAGGAAGCACATTGGAAGGGTCATAGGTACACTAAAGGTAGTGAAACTGGTGGCTAAAATAGCAATTAGAAAGCACTAATGCAGAGCTATAAATTGAAGCTTAAAAAATACAGAAAATACTACCAGTAGCTGTATTTGAAGAAAAATAGGTTTAATAATTAGTGTTGTTTGATAATTGTTCACTGGTGAAATTCAAATGATATATGAGATGTGCTTTCTTTCACTTTCTCATGTGCATGACAGGAAGGAAGGGGAGAACATACCCTGAATGAGAACATATTAACTTTGACACATATGAGTTGGGTATAGTGTTTTGAATAGATGAATACTCTTTGAAAATGCAAATTTAGATACATGTGGAATATTTAAGTAAAGATTCATGGAAACCAATCAGATATGTGTGTCTGGGTTCAGAGGAGAAATTTCAAAACTTAGAAGTGTTCTGGAGAGACATAGATTTTGAAGGAGGAGCTGCATTTCTTCTTCATTGAAGATTTGAAGAACTGTTAGACAGTCTGGTAATAAAACACAAAGGGAAACAGGTTTCACAGAACAACAGTGTATGTGCTAAATGGACAAGAGCCAGGAGATTAAGGCTTAAAGGCACTAAGTCAATGGGACTATGGAAGACTATTTTGAAACATCTTAAAAGACATGATGTTCTTTCAGTTATCTTTATGCTGGGATTACACACTGGTGACTGAAGTGTGGGCCTCAATCAAAACCATAATTGTATGATCAAGAGTTCAAATTGAATTATGTGGCACATGGTGGGAGACAGTCACTGTCCTCAGCACTTAAAAGGGATGAAATTACAGGCTAAGTTTCCAAAGTGGCCTGGATGTATGATTGATAGGGAAGATTCCGCCACTCTGAAGGGAGATCATTAACATAAACTAAGACTTTAGGTAGGAAAATCAAGATACCTGAGTGATTTAGCTTCACCAGAGGCTGCTGGAGAGAGATGGATGGGGAGAGAGCTCTCAGTCTCAGAGAGCCCTCTAAGAATTCAGGTACAGACATGCCAGCGAGCTATAACCTTCACGGAGTGAAAAAATATCAGTTGTCTCAGGTCAGCAATTTAGCTCAGTGGTTCTGCTGCCCCCCTTGCAAGCACAAGGTCCTGAATTAAACAGCTGTCTCTTTTATCTGAGAGAAGATCACTAAAGCCACCCCTAGAATTTTTCTTCTTACTTCAAATAACATTCTTTTCTTCTCTACCAAACTTGGAAATACTTCCTAGCAATTGCAGTAAAATTAGGAATTCATACTCCAAAGAAACAGATAAAAAAATTACAAATACTACAAATATAGATTTCAGAGGTCATCATTTAAGATTCTTCATATTAGGTCTTAAAGAGTAAAGTTTTAAAAATTTATTACTTACTTTAACAAAACATTCAGGAATTCCTGAATTTTAAAGCATCATAGTAATTTGTAATAAAAAGTATTATTTATTAATAAATGTATTAAATATTTTTCTCTTATTATCAAATGTGGACATAACATAGATCAATAATTTTCTATCTTTGAAAAAACCCACAGTTTGTGCTTTGAAATTACTACTCACAATAAATGAATGCCCCTGAAACCATGCACATCATGAAGACATTTTTTGAGTATGCTCTGCAAAAGAGTAGTGAATAATCATCACCTCCTAAACTCCACTTGATTACGGGAAAATTACTGCTCAATGTATGCTAAAAGGCTTTATTGAAGAAAACTTTTTATACTGCTTCCATGGCTGAAGGCAATCACTCAGCAGCATATGCATTCATCCTCCTGGGGCTCACGGATGATCCAGAGCTGCAGGTCATTCTCTTTGGCGTATTCCTAATGGTCTACTTAGTCAGCGTCCTGAGTAATCTCGGGTTGATAGTGCTGATCCAGGTCAGTCCCCAGCTGCACATGCCCATGTACTTTTTCCTCAGCCATCTGGCTTTCATTGACTTTTGTTTTACCTCCTCTGTCACCCCACACACGCTGGTGAACTTTCTGTATGCAGTAAAAAGTATACCATTTCTTGCCTGTGCCGTTCAGGTGTGCTGCTTCATCACCTGTGCAGTGTGTGAAATGTACCTGCTCTCCATCATGGCCTACGATCGCTATGTGGCCATCTGCACCCCGCTACTTTATGTCATTCTCATGCCTAGGAAGCTGTGTGTTCAAATGATTGCCGGCACATACGTTTATGGCTTCGTGGTGGGTCTGGTACAGGCAGTGGCCACATTCCGCTTGTCTTTCTGTGGCTCCAACGTGATCAACCACTTCTACTGTGATGATGTCCCCTTAATTGCTCTGGCCTGTTCTGACACTCACCTCAAAGAGTTGATGCTGCTGATCATCGCAGGGTTCAATACCCTTTGCTCTCTAGTGATTGTGCTCATTTCTTATGCCTTCATCCTCTTTGCCATCCTGAGGATTCAGTCTGCAGAAGGAAGACAGAAAGCATTTTCTACCTGTGCGTCTCACCTGACCTCCATCTCAGTATTTTATGGGACTGTTATTTTTATGTACCTTCAGCCTAAGTCAAGCCATTCTCTGCACACAGATAAATTTGCCTCCGTGTTCTATGTGGTAGTGATTCCCATGTTAAACCCATTGATCTACAGCTTGAGAAATCAAGAGGTAAAAAATGCCCTGAAGAAAATTGTGGGAAAGTCATGTCTGGCTATCAAATAATGTAAGGCTCACTGATCAAACATCAGAGAATTTGTAGATGTGTCTCATCTGGAGCCACTGTGCTGCTAAATGATGATTATCACATTCTTTTTAAATTTTTTTGTTTTAATGTATTACTTATAGATATTAATAAAGAAAATGTAAAAGCCATTCTATGTAAAATAATTTTTCATAACAAAAATTATTAGAGAATAACCATGATAAATACACTGTGTATCATGATCTTAAAAGAATATATTTTAATTTGCTAATCTATCTCTCCTCTCATTTCCTAATAGTACTATGCCATTTTTTTGACATCATATTCTTCACTCACGGTTCTCACACTAACTCAATGTGTGTCATCCTACTACTTCATTCTTGGGAATTCCAAATGAATTGTATTTTGCAAACATTGACTTTTTGAATTGTAAAAGAGAACAAGTAAATTTTAAAGAAAAAGAATGTGATTGATATCAACCCTCTTTAGCATAATTTCTTCATCAATAATTGAAAAATTGTTGAAAAGCAGACTATATTGGACTGTGTAAGAACTGAAGAAATTTGGGTTCTATGGAAACAAGCCAACATCTGCTATCTTGTATTACAAATTTTCTGCATAGATAAATCTGGAAAAACTTCAAAGTTTTTAAATAAATTTTATTGGTACATTTTAGGTATACAATATAATGACATTCATCATTGGAAATTTGCACCTTTACATAATCTCTCTTGGTTCTTGTTTTTTCCCCTTCCCCTGCCCTCCCTTCAACCCCTCCATCCCTCCTTATTTACAAAGACTTTGTTTCCATTTTTTCATTTTCTCATATTAATTCCATTCCCTTCTTTCCTTTCCCTACCCCTCCCACTTCTTCCCCTTTGCCCCTTTTCTTCCTATTCCACATTATCTATTATACCTTTTAGTCCTTATTACATCCAGGTTCATAGCAACACAATTTGTAATACCTAAAACTTGGAAGTAGCCCAATTGTCCATCAACTGGAGACTGGATAAAGAAAATGTGGGTTTTTTTTAATAAAATGGAGTACTACTCAGCCATAAAAAAATGAGAAATGAGAGACATTTATAGCTAAATGGAGGCACATTGAGATAATACTATTAAGTGAAATAAATAGGACACACATGTGCAAATACCAAATAGTTTGTGTAGTGTGAGGAACTGAAAATATAAAACTTCGAAGTTTTAAAGCAATGAGTATTTTTGTCTTAAGATACTAGAAAACTATCCAAACTCCCCAATTTCAATGTTAGAGTGTTAAATATTAGAACCCACTTTCCAGGTTGCTGACAACCAGTGGTAGAAAAATGCAGATATTATGTGAGTAAAAACAAAGCACGTCAGCTGACAGATTCACAACATTCAGTCATGTGGTTGACCTCATGAAGAACTTTATAATTACATAATAAAATTTTGAGAGATAATAAAACATTACCTAAAACATAAAGGCCTGTGGGGTTTATTTTCATGTAGCAATATATACTTGAAAAAATAGCAACCTCGTAGTTAATTGTGTGTTTTAAAATAAATTAAGAAAATAAGTACTTTGATTTGGATGTTAGGAAATCTTTAAGTTCTTTCTAAAATGATTGATGCAAGAATCATAAGAACAGAAAGGAAAACTAGTGTAGGTCAATGAATGGGCTTAAGGATATGAAATGTGTACCAGGCCGAGGACGCTTTCCACTGGATCTTTCACAGTGGGGTTGACCTGGTGCTGAGTCCAGGGCTGGCTCTGGGCTGCTGTCCATGTTCTGGTGAGTGGAGGGGTGTGATCCCATGGGCCCTGACTGTACGCATCCATATTGTTTCCCTGGGAGACCTGTTCTCTGAAAATCTTTCAAAAGTGTAGAAGGAGGAATGTCATCCTCTCTAGCTACTTCTGGCTGAATGAAGGCACTGATCCCACTTATGTGGAGACTAAGGCTCTGTCTCCAGTCTGATCTTGGGGACTAAGGGAGCCATACTCTTCCTCTGAGGATTTATTGATGAGTCATAGATGTGGAGATGGGTTTTTGTCCTTGGCTTGGGTCACAACCTGTGCTTCATTGGCTGTTAAACAGCAAGAAAGCAAATATGCGTGGTCTAAATAGTAAGGCTATGAGAAACAGTAATAAAGGAGGTTGGGCCAAATTGGCAGGGTGCATGTTCCCATCCAGTTTGCTGGAAGACACAGCAGGAATTTGTGCCACACTGGAAGCCTTGGATAACCGAGTCTCACAACAGAAATTCTTTTCAGTAGTAAACTGGATGAACTGTGGTAACCATGAAAGTAGAAAACTAGCTATACAACGCATAAAGAGGGCCCCGATTTCCCAGATGGGGTTGACTTTATTTAGAGGGAACAAAAGGGTTTACTTATCTGCCTCAGCAGTCTGGTTGTTTTCTTTTCTGAAAAGAAACGTGAGGTCATCCACTGGCTCGTGGGTATCAGGCATGAAGGTTGGTGGTCGTCTGTCTCCTTCATTTTTTTGGTCCTTCCAATGGCTTCAGTTTTACCTTGGATAGATGAATCTAACAGGAATTTCCAACTAGGATCCATGGAATAGAAGAGAAGTTGTTCTTGAGGTCAAGGGCAGAGAACTGGGTAGCGTTTCCCGGGATCTTTCCAAGGAGGGGTGTAGATCCACTACTAGGGGGCGAATGGGTCCCACTCCCTCACTGATCAATCTGAAATCTTTAGCAGGTGGTATTCTCTCGATGGCTTGCCTATCAGTAAAAAGTGGCATGGCAATGGTGACTCTATAGCTGAAAATACATCAGTAGTGGTCTTTAGCCCCTGTGTAGCTTCTCTTTTGAGATAATGCTGTCTTCTGTGAGGATGCAGATTAGGGTCCCTCAGTTGAATGATGACTAGCATGATACTGACAGTCCTCCTCCTCCAGGCATCTCCACACCATGCTCAGGGACCACCTCCAGGAAGACAAACCAGACCTGAGGGAGCCAGGCTGGCTGGGTCCCTGGCAACCAAGCCCCAGGCTGCCTGACGTTTGAGTGGCAGGTGGACCTGAATAGAAAGAATGCATCTCTCCCCAGTTATGGCATGGGGTGCTTTCATATTACCAGAAGGCAGCTTGGCAAGGAAGTCTCCCAACCAGCAGTTCAGAGTGAGGGTAAAGAAAATAGGCCAGTTAACTCCTTGAAGGCACACAACTACTGAGGGATGGGATGATAACTCACTCCAATAAGAGGGCAGAGTTAAATAAGACACCCGAATATCAAGAAGACTTGTTCACCATGTCCAGAATCACCCAAGGCTCCTGTGGGGTACTGAGCACCATCACCCTCTGTCTATGCATTCTTTGCTGGTGTCCATGCGGATGGATGACATCACCCCCTGTTCCACTTCCAAGGGTGCACGTCCACGTTCAGACAGGGCCAGCACAGGACTCAGTAGCATTTGAGGCTTTTCTTTGCCCAGTGCCCTGGGTGCTTGCACTTGAAGCCCTTGGACTTCCCTCCTTCACCCTTCCCATTACCTCAGTTTCTCTTGGAACTGTGGACTTTATCATGAGCTTTCTCCATTAAGGTCAGCGTGGCTTTGACTTGTCTCTTCCCTTGCTCAACTCCCACTTGTCCTCTAATTCCTCAGGACTGTTCAAGACCATAAAAACCACATCAGCCAACTGACTTATCCCAGCTTGCGGGCCCCATTGTGCAGTTCTTGGAGCTCCCCTCTAATACCCGGGCCTGACTGGCTAATAAAATGCTGTCCCAGGATAATCTAGCCCTCTCTCGACCCCAGGTCTAAATTAGTGTGTTTACCATGTGCCCCTTCAGAGTGCTGGAAAGCAGCTTCATTTTCATCAAGAGCCCTAATTGATAGACCTAAGCCTACCATAACTTACAGGCTTGAGTGTGTCCATCTGTGCACCTGCTAAGATGGCCTACAGGTCTAACCTCTTCTTGATTTCTCCACCCTCCAGGTTATAATCTCACCCAGACCCCTCTTGGGAACAACATAATGCATCATTTGCCTAATTACCATTGGGTGCAGCTGCAAAGATTTTACCCTCAGCCTGTCTTGCAGCTGTTATAATCCTTTCTCTTTCTACTGCTCTGTAGCAAGAAATCAGATTGAAATGGACATCTTGCCAAGTTGGATCAAAGGCCATTGTCAGAGATTGGAGTCCATCAGCCAACATGCCAGTATCTTCAGAAAATTAAGCCAGTTTCTCTTTGCATTGCTGAATATCCATGTGGGAAAAAGGAACTTAAACTTGGATGGAACCACGTACACTGCCACTTCTTAAAGAGTGGAATGGTGGCAGACTTAGATGTTGGGTTCCCTGAGTCTGGGATCTTATGGTAGGCAGACCTGGACTTAGTATGGGGTGGGCTCAAGAGGTGTCTATCTCCTGTGGCTCTGGCTGTGCTGGTTGGTGAGGAGGTTGCCTGTGTTGGGGACCAGGTTTATCCCAGCGTCTGAGAAGGCATCCAGTGGGAAGTCAGATGGGATGCACGAGGCATCTCTCATGATGGGTCTGTGGGAAAGAGGGGAAGGAATTAAATTGTGGGAACCTTGTAGACCCTGCGGGAACCTTCCAGGGGATCCTCTGCCTGAGTCCCTGACTCGTTGAGGTCAGAGCATCCTCCTCTGGTCAAACTGAACTCCTTCAGATTCAGATGCCAGGCATTTCTGCCCTTGTGCGGGCACCAGCACCACTTTCTTTCAATCTCTGGATCTCCTTTATTGGTCATAGCCCATCTCCTGAAAAGGGATCTGCAGCTGGTGGTCACCTCTCGCCAATTATAAAATCAGCTCATGTCATGGTACACCTGTCTAAGGAGGGGTACTAAGCACATCTCTCAATAAAACCCTGATCAATTTTTCTGTTTAGGTATCTCTCAGGAACCTTGGCTGACAGAGGTGAATAGTTTAACAAATGGATTTACTCATAGCAGGCTACCTTGGGAAGCCAGGCCACTGAGCCCCAGTGAGATTTTCCCAACCACTGTAAGTGAGGCAAGTACAGAGCTTGCTTGCTTGGAAAGCCCCCAG